AAAATTAGCCGGATATGGTGGTGCTTGCCTGTAATCCCAGCTACTTGGGAGGCTGGGGCAGGAGAATCGCTTGAACCAGGGAGGCAGAGGTTTCAGTGAGTGGAAATCGTGCCACTGAACTCTAGCCTGGGCAACAGAGTGACAGTGTCTCAATAAAAAAATAAATTGTATAGCATGTTAGGAGGAAGTGCTGTAGAAGAAAAAAATGCAGAGATGAATAATGGGGATGAGAATTGACAATTATTTAATTCTGATTGTGAGCATACTTAGCCTCATTGATCTTATTACAGCTCTGTGTACAATCTTAGGCAGTACCTGAGGCATGAGAGTGTGATAATAGTACACCCTATTCAGCAAGTGTAAGAATGTTTCCATGTGTGGTCCGCCTGGTAATCCCAGCATTTTGGGAGGCCGAGGCGGGCAGATCACTTGAAAGTTGGTAGTTCGAGGCCAGTCTGGACAACATGATGAAACATGGTCTCTACTAAAAATACAAAATTAGTACTGTGTGGTGGCAAGCGCCTGTAGTCTCAGTTCCTTAGGAGGCTGAGGCAGAATTGCTTGAGCCAGGGGAGGTGAAGTTTGTAAGTTTGCAGGCAGTGAGCCAAGACTACGCCACTGCACTCTAGCCTGGGCAACAGAATGAGACTCTGTCTCAAACAAAATACACATGCACGCGGGCGCCACACACAGACACACACACAGACACACACACACACACACACACAGAGTCTATTCCTGCTTCCATAGGATCTATTCCTAGGAGCCTTGGCAATTTAATAGTCTGCTTTATGGAGAAGGAGCAGTAGGATGCTGTGTTCAATATTTAGTAGGTCCTCATTAAATATTAGTTTCCTTTCAATCCAAAAACAGACTTAAAAAACCTCATGTTATTGTGGTTGGAGAAGTCAACCTTGATAAACTGGCCAACTACTTTCTTTTTGACTTGTGTGTTGGACTTGGACTCCTTTTTCTTGATGGTTGTGATGAGGGCGAGAATGTAGTCTAGACATAAAGGACCTGATTTCACGTAAGGGAAAATTTAGTGCTGGAAAAATTGGTTATTACGGCAAAATACTCTTCAAAATTACACTATTTAGTTTTCTCAAAGGCTTAAGTGGAACTTTTATGCTGGATTTATGTGATAAATGGAATAAACTCATCCAAACATTAGAAGGAATGTGTTAGCCGGTTGTGGTGGCTTACACCTGTAATGTGTGAGCACTTTGGGAGGCCGACACGGGCCGATTGCCTGAGAGTGGGATCACCTGGAGTGCCACTAAACTCTAGCCTGGCCAACATGGAGAATACCTGTCTCTAGTAAAAATTACAAAAATAACCAGGCGTGGTAGCAGATGCCTATAATCCCAACTACTCAGGAGGCTGAGACAGGAGAATCGCTTGAACCCAGGAGGTGGAGGTTACCGGTGAACCAAGATCATGCCATTGTACTCCAGCCTGGGCAACAGGGCAAAACTCCATCTCAAAAAAAAAAAAAAAAAAAAGAAGGAACATGATTTAAAAGAAAAAAAACCTACCACAATTACAATTTTTTTTTTTTTTTGAGACAGAGTTTCGCTCTTGTTACCCAGGCTGGAGTGCAATGGCGCAATCTCGGCTCACCGCAACCTCCGCCTCCTGGATTCAGGCAATTCTCCTGCCTCAGCCTCCTGAGTAGCTGGGATTACAGGCACGTGCCACCATGCCCAGCTAATTTTTTGTATTTTTAGTAGAGACGGGGTTTCACCATGTTGACCAGGATGGTCTCGATCTCTTGACCTCGTGATCCGCCCGCCTCAGCCTCCCAAAGTGCTGGGATTACAGGCGTGAGCCACCATGCCCAGCTCACAATTACAATTTTAGAACATGATCTTTTTTTTTTTTTTGAGACGGAGTTTCGCTCTTGTTACCCCGGCTGGAGTGCAATGGCGCGATCTCGGCTAACCGCAACCTCCACCTCCTGGGTTCAGGCAATTCTCCTGCCTCAGCCTCCTGAGTAGCTGGAATTACAGGCACGTGCCACCATGCCCAGCTAATTTTTGTATTTTGAGTAGAGATGGGGTTTCACCATGTTGACGAGGATGGTCTCGATCTCTTGACCTCGTGATCCACCCATCTCGGCCTCCCAAAGTGCTGGGATTATAGGCGTGAGCTACTGTACCCCTGTACCCAGCCTTGTTTTTTTTTTTTTTTTTTTTTTTTTTTTTTTTTTTAAAAGACTAGTCAAGTGCAGTAGTGAGAAGGAGGGAAAGAGTAGAACAGGCAGTTCGATTTGTAACTGACTGTGAACAATCAATTGAGATAACTCACTACCTTAGGACCAGCCTAGTCTGTTTTGTTTTTTGAGACGAAGTCTTGGTCTGTTGCCCAGGATGGAGTGCAGTGGCATGATCTCAGCTCACTGTAACCTCTGTCTCCCAGTTTCAAGTGATTCTCCTGCTTCACCCTCTCGAATAGCTGGGATTACAGTTGTGCGCCACCACACCTGGCTAATTTTTGTATTTTTAGTAGAGATGGGGTTTCACCATGTTGGTCAGGCTGGTCTCCTGACCTCGTGATCTGCCCGCCTTGGCCTCCCAAAGTTCTGGGATTACAGGCGTGAGCCACCACACCCGGCCTGGGCAAGAAAAGTTGAGGTTATTGTTAACAATTTGAGAAAACTCAATATGTTAATTTGAGGAAAACAACGGAGACATTTGGGGGAAAAAAAAATTGTTTTGTGAATTACCAAGGAAAGAACTAATCACAGGCTAAGCAATATGCTTAAGGTTGAATTTGCCAAATTAAGATGTACATACTGCCGGGCGCGGTGGCTCAAGCCTGTAATCTCAGCACTTTGGGAGGCCGAGGCCGGTGGATCACAAGGTCAAGAGATCAAGACCATCCTGGTCAACATGGTGAAACCCCGTCTCTACTAAAAATACAAAAAATTAGCTGGGCATGGTGGTGTGTGCCTGTAATCCCAGCTACTCAGGAGGCTGAGGCAGGAGAATTGCCTGAACCCAGGAGGTGGAGGTTGCGGTGAGCCGAGATCGTGCCATTGCACTCCAGCCTGGGTAACAAGAGCGAAACTCCTCCTCCTCAAAAAAAAAAAAAAAAGATGTACATACTATGATGTAGCATGTGGCTTCATTTGCACATGCAGTGAGATAATTCCTACAGGTGTCTCACACTGCTGTAGGTTATTAAGAACTCCAGCCGGGCACGGTGGCTCAAGCCTATAATCCTAGCACTTTGGGAGGCTGAGGCGGGTGGATCACGAGGTCAAGAGATCGAGACCATCCTGGTCAACATAGTGAAACCTTGTCTCTACTAAAAATACAAAAAATTAGCTGGGCATGGTGGCACGTGCCTGTAATCCCAGCTACTCAGGAGGCTGAGGCAGGAGAATTGCCTGAACCCAGGAGGCGGAGGTTGCGGTGAGCCGAGATCGCGCCATTGCACTCCAGCCTGGGTAACAAGAGCGAAACTCCGGCTCACAAAAAAAAAAAAAAAAAAAAAAAAAAAAAAAGGAACTCCATCCTTTAGTCACATTACTTTTCTGAATTCTGTAACACTTTTCCATTCAGCTAATCCTTTGATTAGTCTGTATTTTCCGGATCAAGTGTATCTTGTTTTTCCCTTGCTTCACTTCCCTTGTCCCTTGCACCCCACTAACAGGAAAATTCCTGGTGGTCAAAATGGTTCTAATTCTTTTTGTGTACTCAGGCTTAATTCACTAGGAATTGGCATAACTTCTCAATATTTAAAAAAATTTAATCTGACACTTTATGATATTTTATTTTATTTTATTTATTTATTTTTTTGAGACGGAGTTTCGCTCTTGTTACCCAGGCTGGAGTGCAATGGCGCGATCTCGGCTCACCGCAACCTCCGCCTCCTGGGTTCAGGCAATTCTCTTGCCTCAGCCTCCTGAGTAGCTGGGATTATAGGCATGCGCCACCATGCCCAGCTAATTTTTTGTATTTTTAGTTGAGACGGGGTTTCACCATGTTGACCAGGTTGGTCTCGATCTCTCGACCTCGTGATCCACCCGCCTCGGCCTCCCAAAGTGCTGGAATTACAGGCTTGAGCCACCGCGCCCGGCTTTATGATATTTTAAACTCTTTTCACAAGTTTTCATATTGAAGATCATGGCAGGAAGTGGATGCTTTTTTTTTTTTTTTTTTTTTTTTTTTGAGACGGAGCTTCGCTCTTGTTACCCAGGCTGGAGTGCAATGGCACGATCTCGGCTCACCGCAACCTCCGCCTCCTGAGTTCAGGCAATTCTCCTGCCTCAGCCTCCTGAGTAGCTGGGATTATAGGCACGCACCACCATGCCCAGCTAATTTTTTGTATTTTTAGTAGAGACGGGGTTTCACCGTGTTGACCAGGATGGTCTTGATCTCTTGACCTCGTGATCCGCCCGCCTCGGCCTCCCAAAGTGCTGGGATTACAGGCGTGAGCCACCGCGCCCGGCCGGCTTTATGATATTTTAAACTCTTTTCACAGGTTTTCATATTGAAGATCATGGCAGGAAGTGGATGCTTTTAATGCCAATAGAAATTCTTGTGAATTTTTCTAACTTCTATTGCTAATTAACACGGAGGTGGTGGGCTCTTATTTATCTATTTTGGGATGGGGGTTTTGCTCTTGTTGCCCAGGCTAGAGTACGATGGCATGATGTCGGCTCACCGCAACCTCCACTTCCCAGGTTCAAGCGATTCTCCTGCCTCGGCCTTCCGAGGAGCTGGGATTACAGGTATGCACCACCACGCCTGGCTAATTTTATATTTTTAGTAGAGACAGAGTTTACTTCATGTTGGTAGGCAGGTCTCGAACTCCCGACTGCAGGTAATCCCCGCCCGCCTCGGCCTCCCAAAGTGCTGGGATTACCGCGCCTGGCCCAGGGCAGGAGCTCTTTATGTATTATTCTATTTTGCTCCGCCCCCGACATGTTGGAGCGCTGGCCGCTCTCTACGGGCTAGGGAAAGAGGAACTAAGTGATCATAGAGCTGACGGAATGCCGGCGTAGAGGGAACCGGAAGTTGTTTTTTTCCCTACCCCCCCACCCCCCACAGCCCCTTAAACCCGGGCCGGATCGCATCTCCGCGAGCTGGCTTTGGTTACTGCTCCTGTCAGACTGTCGTTCGGCCTTTGGACTTGGTACCCCGGAGTGTGGGCTCTGTCTAGTACCAGTCACTGCAGTACCAGCCTTTGGGAAGCCGTGTCTTCTTAGCCACAAGGGACAGAGGGCGGCCTGACGGAGCCACGGCGCTGGCCAAGTCGCCCAGGCGCTAGCCGGAACCCCCAGACCAGCTCAGACGAGAGCCCAAACTCGGAGCTTGGAAGAATTAGCAGGAAATGGCGGATGAGGCGTTGTTTTTGCTTCTCCATAACGAGATGGTGTCTGGAGTGTACAAGTCCGCGGAGCAGGGGGAGGTGGTGAGTGCTGCCACACGCCCTTGAGGTCCTTTTGCGGTGACACACCTTGTTTCCCCTCAGTGCTGTCTCCTTCAACCCCTGTCCCGTCGCCACCCGATGCCTCCCGAGGTGTAGACAAAGTGGTCCACCTCTAGGTATCCTAAATCCTAGAACCTGTCAGTTGTCTCCTTTGATCTGTTATCTTTCATCCTTTTCTCTTTCTTATCTTCTGCTATTTGATTCCTTTTTGTGCCCTTGAGCCATGCACTGGCCAGACCTGTCGCAGCCTAAGAAGCGTGTCCCTCGTTCCCCTTTCCTAATGCCCAGTACAGCTCCACACAACTTGAGTACTGAAGCCTAATGAAGGTTGAGTTTGCAGGCATTAGGATAATTAGGAAACACTGTTTAAATTAATTGTTTCAGAAAATAGTGCCCATTATGTCAAAGCTAGTTCTCGCTGCTAGGGATGTAGTAGTGAATGAAACAATGGCCCATTCTTGTAGAATTGTAGAGATTACCTTTTTTTTTTTTTAATCTGAAATGTGATAGTATGTAGTGATTACTTCTAATATGTGGGAGTCCTTATTCAATCACTGATTGTGGGCCTGACACTGCTAGATAAATAAAATAAAAATCCCTGCCTCGGTCTTTAGGGAATAGGGATTTAATGAATAGTTAAAATTAAGTATTGGCTGGTAGAATCATGTAGTTGTAACGGATTTGAGAAATATTCCAAAGTCATGCTCAAGTCAGGAGCCCTTTCTTTAATATAATTGATAAAACGAGTGGAGAATGGGGATAGGAAATGTATCCTAGGTAAAGATAAAGGCATAGAGGTATGGAAGAGTGGTGGATTTAAATACCACTTAAGCATTTCATTGTGACTAGATTGAGTGGAGGCAGAGTGAGAAGTAAGAGCTTAAGTTAGAAAGAACTTGGTCTGAGCCGGGCGCGGTGGCTCAAGCCTGTAATCCCAGCACTTTGGGAGGCTGAGGCGGGTGGATCACGAGGTCAAGAGATCGAGACCATCCTGGTCAACATGCTGAAACCCCGTCTCTACTAAAAATACAAAAAAAATTAGCTGGGCATGGTGGCGTGTGCCTGTAATCCCAGCTACTCAGGAGGCTGAGGCAGGAGAATTGCCTGAACCCAGGAGGCGGAGGTTGCGGTGAGCCGAGATCGCGCCATTGCACTCCAGCCTGGGTAACAAGAGCGAAACTCCGTCTCAAAAAAAAAAAAAAAAGAAAGAAAGAACTTGGTCTGATTAAAGAGTTCGGATCTTTTCAAGAGAAGCTGTTTTTGTTTGTTTGTTTGTTTGCTTTTGAGATGGAGTTTCACTCTTGTTGCCCAGGTTGGAGTGCAATGGCGCAATCTCAGCTCCCTCAACCTCCATCTCCCGGGTTCAAGCGATTCTCCTACCTTAACCTCCTGAGTAGTTGGGATTACAGGCATTCGCCACTACTTCCGGCTAATTTTGTATTTTTAGTAGAGATGCGGTTTCTCCCTCTTGGTCAGTCTGGTCTCTAATTCCTGACCTCTGGTGATCCCCGCCCACCTTGGCCTCCCAAAGTGTTGGGATTACAGGTGTGAGCCACCACACCTGGCAACGGAGGATTTTTAAGGAGGGGAATGATGTGGACCATTTGCATTTTAGAAAGTAATCTAGCATTTGGACTAGAGATGGAAGATCCTTGTAGGGGGAAATTCCTTTATTATAGGAGTTACGGCTGGAAATGATGATGATCTGAATTAAGAAAAACATAGTGAGAAAAGGAGGTAACAGATTTGTGAGGTAGAAGGTGGAATTGTGTACGCCTTGTTTAAGGATGGGAGGAGTTGAAAATATATCATCAGGTTTTCTGCTTGGGCAGCTGGGTTGGATGGTGGTGCTATTAATCAGAAAAGGGGATAAAGAAGAAGAAAAAAATGAGGAGGTAAAATGAGTTATTTCAGGGCAGGTTGAAGTTTTGAGGTCCCTGCAGGACATCCAAGAAAAGGTACTGCCAGTTTGCACAAGAAGGATAGGCAAGATACATTTGAAGATTTCATTAGAAAGATATGTATGGAAGAGTTTTGGAAATGAAGCAAATTCGATTCTTACTCAAATGACCCATCTGTAATAGAGATTTTTTTCAAGTTACAAACTTACGACTTTACTATTGACATCAGTGTTTACTGTTTGTGCAAAACCAGGCTTCTTTTCCCCCAAAGAACAGTTAATAACACACCCCTTTTACTTTTTTATCATACCCGGCCCCCTCCCCCCCCACCACTTGTGTATTCAGTTCTCTTCATTCTCCCCTCCCTTCTTACCTTTCCTCTTCTCTGTTTCTTTTTTCTTTCCTTTTTTTTTTTTTTTAAATGAGACGGAGTTTTGCTCCTGTTGCCCAGGCTGGAGTGCAGTGTTGTGGTCTCAGCTCACTGGAACCTCCGTCTCCGGGGTTCAAGCAATTCTCCTGCCTCAGCCTTCTGAGTAGCTGGAATTACAGGTGCCGGCAACCATGCCTGACTCATTTTTTTGTATTTTTAGTAGAGACAGTTTCACTATGTTGAGTAGGCGGGTCTTGAACTTATGACCTCAGGTAATCTGCCTGCCACAGCCTCCCAAAGTGCTGGGATTACAGGTGTAAGCCACTACACCTGTCCCTCTTCTGACTCTTGTCTAGAAGAATATTTTTTCTTCCTTTTAAGAGCTCTCCTTTTTTTCCAGTGAGTTAATCCTTATAAAATGAACAGAGCCATTCTACTCATGCCCAGTAATTTTAAGAGATGGACTAATCATATAAGAGAAAGGAGGACCAGGTACGGTGGCTCAAGCCTGTAATCCCAGCACTTTGGGAGGCCGAGGCGGGTGGTGGATCACGAGGTCAAGAGATCAAGACCATCCTGGTCAATATGGTGAAACCCCGTCTCTACTAAAAATATAAAAAAATTAGCTGGGCGTGGTGGCACGTGCCTGTAATCCCAGCTACTCAGGAGGCTGAGGCAGGAGAATTGCCTGAACCCAGGAGGCGGAGGTTGCAGTAAGCCAAGATTGTGCCATTGCACTCCAGCCTGGGTAACAAGAGCGAAACTCCTCAAAAAAAAAAAAAAAAAAAGGAAGGAAGTTCATAGTTTTGAATCATTTAAGCTAAAAATAATTTTCTTTTTCTACTGCAGTGTGTTTATGATGGGGGAAAAATTGAATTGAAAGTACATAATAAGCAAAGATTATATAAACAACAGTTATGTGGTAGTCTTCGTAATCAGAACCCATACTGAAATCTGGGTATAGGAGCGTTTATATTAGTGTCCCTACTTTGAGTGTGCTTGAAATTTTTCATCATGAAAAATGTAAAATACACATAATCCTGTCATCCAGAAGTGATTTTTTTGAGATTTTTTTAGACCGTAAAAACCATTGTTTATGTCTGAAAAGACCTGTAAAATCCATTTCTCAATGACAGGATTATGTGTCTTTTATTTTTATTTTTTCTTTTGAAACAGTCTCTGTTGCCCAGGCTGGAGTATAGTGGCACAATCTTGGCTCACCGCAACCTCCGCCTCCCGGGTTCAGGCAATTCTCCTGCCTCAGCCTCCTGAGTAGCTGGGATTACAGGCACATGCCACCATGCCCAGCTAATTTTTTGTATTTTTAGTAGAGACGGTGTTTCACCTCGTTGACCATGATGGTCTCGATCTCTTGACCTCGTGATCCACCCGCCTCGGCCTCCCAAAGTGCTGGGATTACAGGCTTGAGCCACCGTGCCCGGCCATTTTTGTATTTTTGGTAGCGATGAGGTTTCACCATTTTGTCCAGGATGGTCTCTAATTCCTGACTTTGTGATCCACCCGCTTCAGCCTCCCAAAGTGTTGGGATTACAGGCATGAGCCACTGCTCCTGGCCCTTTTTTTTTTTCTATGAAAAGTTTTTTTTAAGTGAAATAAAGTTTTATACATTTTCAGTATAGGAAAATAAACTCCCCTAAGATTTGAGTTGAAATTAAAGAACTAATGTTCTCACCCTCTAAATCAATGTTTTTCAAATTATGCTTAAAGAGGAATTAATTATCTTAAAATGGACTAATTGGGCATTTCTCAATTTATGGAGAATGAATTTTAAAAGGTTAATGGACAAAATGTTCTCAAGTTGAATTTTTCTTTTTTCTTTTTTTTTTTTTTTTGAGACGGAGTTTTGCTCTTGTTACCCAGGCTGGAGTGCAATGGCACGATCTCGGCTCACCGCAACCTCCGCCTCCTGGGTTCAGGCAATTCTCCTGCCTCAGCCTCATGAGTAGCTGAGATTACAGGCACGTGCCACCATGCCCAGCTACATTTTTTGTATTTTTAGTAGAGGCAGGGTTTCACCATGTTGACCAGGATGGTCTTGATCTCTTGACCTCGTGATTCACCCACCTCGGCTTCCCAAAGTGCTGGGATTACAGGCTTGAGCCAACACGCCCGGCCAAGTTGAATTTTTCTTAAAAATTTGGTGCCTACTCAAAAGTGCATGAACAAGTACGAAAATCAAAAGGTATGTTGTAGGGCTTAATTCAAAAGCTCAAGTGATCATAGGATTTGAGAGTGTCTATATAAGCATATTGTAACTGCCCAGTGTTCTTCTTGCCCGCTGCCCAGATAGAGCTGATTTATCAATACAGGAGAATTACAATAAGGCATTTATGTAGAGCTGGCTGAATGAGAGAGCAGAGTTTTATTATTGCTCAAATCAGCAGAGGCTAGGGTTTATCAAGGATCATTTGGCAGGATGCGGGCTAGGGAATGGTTCTGCTGATTGGTTGGGGATGTAGTTACAGAGGTGTAGGGCCACAGGACCAGTTGGAGTCATCCAAAATGCAAAAGTCTTTAAAGACATCTTAAAAAGCCTTTTTTAGGTTCTACAATAGTGATATTATTTACAGGAGTAATTGGGAAAGTTACAAATTTGTGACTGCCAGAACAATGGCTGGTTAACACTTACCTACATTTTAGCAGAATTCAGACCCCTCTCATAATCTTAACTTTGTAGTCTTTCATTAGTTTTGTAAAAGTGATTTAGTTTTGGGAAGGGCTATTATCATTCTTGCTTTAAGATTATTCTGTAAACTAAATTTCTTCCGAAGTTAGCTTGGGCCGCATCCAAGAATGACCAAAGGCAGTTTGGAGGTTAAAGGCAAGATGGAGTTGGTTAGGTGAGATCTCTTTCACTGTCATAATTTTCTCACTGTTACAATCTTTACAAAGGTGATTTCAATATTTCCTAATAATAAATATGTTCCTAGGTGATTCTAAAGAGAGCAGATTATTCCACAAAGAGCATCATGATTCACAGGCACTCTTTCTACCTGAACATTTTTTTTTTTTGAGATGGAGTTTCACTCTTGTTACCCAGGCTGGAGTGCAATGGCGCGATCTCGGCTCACCGCAACCTCCGCCTCCTGGGTTCAGGCAATTCTCCTGCCTCAGCCTCCTGAGTAGCTGGGATTACAGGCATGCGCCACCATGCCCAGCTAATTTTTTGTATTTTCGGTAGAGACGGGGTTTCACCATGTTGACCAGGTTGGTCTCGATCTCTCGACCTCGTGATCCACCCACCTCGGCCTCCCAAAGTGCTGGGATTACAGGCTTGAGCCACCGCGCCCGGCCCCTGAACATTTTTTTTTTTAAAGACACAAGGTCTCTGGGTGAGTGTGATGGTTCACACCTGTAATCCCAGCACTTTGGGAGGCTGAGGTGGGAGAATTACTTGAGCCCAGGAGTTGGAGCCCAACCTGGGAAACATAGTAAAACACTGTCTCTATTAAAAAATAAAAAAGAGACAAGGTCTTGCTGTGTCATGTAGCCTGGAATGCATTGTTGGGACTTTGGCTTACTGCAGCCTTGACCTCCTGGGCTTAAGTGATCCTCCCGTGTTAGCATCCTGAATAGTGAGAGCTATGGGCATGTTACATGTCTGGCTAATTAAAACAATTTTCTTTTTTTATAGAAACAGAGTCTTGCTATGTTGTTCATGCTGGTCTCAGACTCCTAGTCTCAAGCAACCCTCCTACCTCAGCCTCCTACAGTGCTGGGATTATAGGCATGAGCACTGTGCCTTGCTTCATCCTAAGCATGTTTGAGAACAAGTGTGGAGAATAGTAGAAAAACCAAAAACAGTGATAAGTACAGAAATAGATGTATGTACAGAGTTTTATGACAGCATAGGGCTTAAGGAAGTTTCAGGGAAAGCATCTGGGAGAATGTAGTAACTGACCACAATTTAAAGAATGTGAAGTCTAGGGAATAGCACATACAAAGGTATGGAGACAGAAGAGAGCATGGCACTTTGGAGTTGCTGCAGAAATTTCAGAGTGATAGAAGGGAAGAATGTTTGTGAGTATATGGATATTAATGAATTTGGTTAACTAGCCAAGGGTCTTCAAGGAAAGGACATAACATAAGGAATTTGGACTTTCCTTTTCTTCTATTTTTTTATTTTTATTTTTTGATAAAGGGTCCCTTGCTCAACCTGTTGCCCAGGCTGGAGTGCGAGACATGATCATGGCTCACTGCAGCCTCAACTTCCTGGACTCAAGCAGTCCTCCTGCATCAACCTCCAGAATGGCACATGCTACCATCCCCAGCTTTTTTTTTTTTTTTTTTTTTTTGAGACGGAGTTTCGCTCTTGTTACCCAGGCTGGAGTGCAATGGCGCGATCTTGGCTCACCGCAACCTCCGCCTCCTGGGTTCAGGCAATTCTCCTGCCTCAGCCTCCTGAGTAGCTGGGATTACAGGCACGCGCCACCATGCCCAGCTAGTTTTTTGTATTTTTTTTTTTTTTTTTGAGACGGAGTTTCGCTCTTGTTACCCAGGCTGGAGTGCAATGGCACGATCTCGGCTCACCGCAACCTCCGCCTCCTGGGTTCAGGCAATTCTCCTGCCTCAGCCTCCTGAGTAGTTGGGATTATAGGCACGCGCCACCATGCCCAGCTAATTTTTTGTATTTTTAGTAGAGACGGGGTTTCACCATGTTGACCAGGTTGGTCTCGATCTCTCGACCTTGTGATCCACCCGCCTCGGCCTCCCAAAGTGCTGGGATTACAGGCTTGAGCCACCGCGCCCGGCAGTTTTTTGTATTTTTAGTAGAGACGGGGTTTCACCATGTTGACCAGGATGGTCTTGATCTCTTGACCTCGTGATCCACCCGTCTCGGCCTCCCAAAGTGCTGTGATTACAGGCATGAGCCACTGTACCTTGAGGGGTTTGTTTGTATTATAAAAACTTGGTGTTGTAGAGGAACACAAAGCTACTATCCATTGAACCTCTGCCAGTTAAGACGGTATTGGCTTAGGTGACATCTGGTTACTATCCTGGGAAAGTAACTTCTATAGAGATGGCCTTCCAAGTGGTTTTAAAGTGTATCCTTCTGGCTGGGCGTGGTGGCTCACGCCTGTAATACTTTGGGTGGATCACTTGAGGTCAGGAGTTTGAGACCAGCGTGGCCAACATGGTGAAACCCTATGTCTACTAAAAATACAAAAATTAGCCAGGCATGGTGGTGGGTGCTTGTAATTCCAGCTACTTGGGAACCTGAGGTAGGAGAATCGCTTTAACCTGAGAGGTGGAGGTTGCAGTGAGCCAAGATGGACCCACTGCACTGCACCCTGGGTGACAGAGTAAGACTCCATCTGAAAATAAAATAAAATTTATAAGTGTATCCTTCTATTGACATTTTTAGGTTGACTATGTATATGTTAACTAAATTATGAATTAACTTGTTTATCAAAAAAAAAAAAAAAGTAAAAAGTAAGTCAGTGCCGGGTGCAGTGGCTCACGCCTGTAATCCTAGCACTTTGGGAGGCCAAGGTGGGTGGATCACCTGAGGTCAGGAGTTCAAGACCAGCCTGGCCATCATGGTGAAATCCCATCTTTAAAAAAAAAAAAAAAGTCAGTCAAAGTAAAGTAAATAAATAGTATCAATCTTATAATTCACTTTTTCTTAAGATGTTTCAGTGAAAAAAGTATAAATATTTACATTACTATTTTTAACCAATATTATAAAACAATTTCTGAATACTAACATCCTAGCATTCTAAAAGTATTAAAACTATTATTTTTTTAAAATAGGAAAACGGACGATGTATTACTAAGCTGGAAAACATGGGGTTTCGAGTTGGACAAGGATTGATAGAAAGGTGAGCAGGTTGGATTTGAAAATTTTCTGGCAGGTAGGTTATAAACAAAGATGGTCCATTTCAAAAGATTGCATAAAACTTGAGATATTTTAATTTTAATTCCTGAATGTTATTTCTTCTCTTTACTTCAAAAATTGAACTTTCTTTTTAGATCCAATGCCATTTTCACTCAGTTATTCAAATTTTATGTTTTAATGTTTGAAGAAAATATATATTTTATGTATTTTAGACTTTATTCCTGAAACTACTGGTATATTAAAGCAACTGTGTGAAATCTTACTGCATTTTCAACTTAAGATCTGCTAGGTTCTTTAACCTGCATAGAATTTTTAAGTACATAGGATTGAAATACAATAGTCTGTGTTTATGCATATGATTATCTTTCAACTTATAGATCAATTTTTTTTAGTATTTCTTTCTCACTATTTGAACAGTTACACTCTGATTATATTTTATATAATAATGTCATGATCATGCTTACCTCTTTGTTATTTTGTGATTTTTTTGATGTGCTAGAGAATTGCACCCGAAATTTTGGCTATAATGTTAGGCTAATTTGAGGCCTCATAATTTATATAACGTAATGTGAATCCATTGAGATAGGATCATTTTGCCTAGTGCTTATGACTTTATGAGTGTTAATAAATGTTCAGCCAGGTGTGGTGGCTCATGCCTATATCTCAGCACTTTGGGAGGCCAAGGTGGGAGAATCACTTGAGCTCAGGAGATTCAGACCAGTTAGGGCAACAAAGTGGGACCCCGTCTCTTCCAAAAATAAAAAAATTAGCTGGACATGGTGACATGTGCCTGTGGTCTCAGCTGCTAGGGAGGCTAAGGTGGGAGGATGGCTTGTGCCTGGGAGGTAAATAGAGGTTGCAGTGAGCTGAGATCATGCTACTGCACTCTAGCCTAGGCTACAGAGCCAGACCCTGCCAAAAAAAATTAAAGTTAAAAAACCCAATAAATGTTCAGTGCTGTTCTGACATTTGAAAATTAGTTAATAATTTGTTCCTCTTGCTTTCTTTGGAGGATAAATACTCTATTACTTCTAGTTGATCTTTTTAGGTTTACAAAAGATACTGCAAGGTTCAAGGATGAGTTAGATATCATGAAGTTCATTTGTAAAGATTTTTGGACTACGGTATTCAAGAAACAAATCGACAATCTAAGGACAAATCATCAGGTAATTAAAATAACTAAGACCTATACTTTTAAGTCATTTAACTTAATATAAATATCATATTTTAGTGACTTATTTAAAACCTAAAATAATTTCTGGTTAACTTTGGAATATTTTTTATGGTGTTAATAAGTTACTAATTTTTTCCTTCTAATAGTGTGAAATGAATAAAGACAAAGGGACAGTTACCAGTAATGATAGCTGTTTCTTTCACCCAATTATATGCTATGTTAAATTTTTTTAAATAGCAAATGTCAGGATGATAATAGCTTTTAGTATTTGTCAGTTGGTGGTAATAATATACAGAACCACAAATATATCACCTTTATGTGTTTAGAATCATTTCTTTATTTTGAAGAATAATTTGTATTATTTTAATAATTTTTATATACAGAAAACTCAACAGAGTACATTTAGCCCAGTTTGGTGACAAGTTCTTTGCCTTTTCCTGGTTTTCAATTCAAGCCACAGAGTTGGAACCCAGGACATGGTCTCCCCAGTGACAGTGGATCTTACCATATCTGTCATTGTAATTGGTTCTAATAGCTTCCACCAGCTGAACCTAAGCTCCTTTGTCTTCTGAGTTAACCTTTGTGAAGGCAACGGTGATACAGGTCTTCTTGTGGACTAGATGTCCCAGTCTTGCCTTCCCCTGATAATGCAGTAAGTGACCCCCATTTTGTGCGACAAGGCAGTCAGGAAGACAGACGGCTTGATGGGATCCACATTGTGTGCATTCACCACCAACTGGGCCTCCTTGTTCTCCTCCAAGATGGTAACAGTGTTTACTCCTGCTCAGAGGACAAGTGGTCTCTTAGTGGGGGACATCCCCTTTGCCTGCAGCTTTCTTTTTTTTTTTTTTTTTTTTTTTTTTAGTAGAGATGGGGTTTTACCACGTTGGCCAGGCTGGTCTCGAGCTCCTGACCTCAGATGATCCGCCCATCTCAGCTTCCCAAAGTGCTGGGATTACAGGTGTGAGCTGCCATGCCCAGCTACTTGCAGCTTTCTTTTCAGCCCGGGCCAATAGCCTCTGCTTCTTTTCTTGCTTTGTTTCTGGTCAGTACTTGTGGGCCAGCTTAAGCAGCTGAGTAGCTGTTTGTCAGTGCAGGGCCTGGGTGAACTGGTTAATCGTAGGAGGCACTTTCCGCTGCTTATAGAGGATGGCTTTCTGCCGGGGCCATTTCACAAAGCAAGTGGGGTCCTTTTTGGGTGGATGTCCTGTCTAATGTCAGAATTCTTAGGCCTTTTTTCAAACGGGATTCCTTCTTCTTCATGGCAGCAAGGACTGGAGCCACCTTCTTCCCCTTGGCCTTTCCTTTTGGCACCTTGGGTGGGAGGAGGAGATCCTTTATAGTCATTTCTAAGGTCTAATTTATAGAGCATATTTTACTCTTAAATAACTCTTGCATTATTATTGTTGTATTTTCTATTCTTTTCTTACTGTAAAACTAGTAAGCTATTTATTTATTAAAAATTGAAAAAGGAAGGCCGGGCGCGGTGGCTCAAGCCTGTAATCCCAGCACTTTGGGAGGCCGAGGCGGGTGGATCACGAGGTCAAGAGATCGAGACCATCCTGGTCAACATAGTGAAACCCCGTCTCTACTAAAAATACAAAAAATTAGCTGGGCATGGTGGCGCGTGCCTGTAATCCCAGCTACTCAGGAGGCCGAGACAGGAGAATTGCCTGAGCCCAGGAGGCGGAGGTTGCGGTGAGCCGAGATCGCGCCATTGCACTCCAGCCTGGGTAACAAGAGCGAAACTCCGTTTAAAAAAAAAAAAAAAAAAAAAAAAATTGAAAAAGGAGACAGGGTCTTACTGTGTTGCCCAGGCTGATCTCCAGCTCCTGGACTCAAGTAATTCTTTGGCCTCAATCTCTTGCATAGCTGGGATTATAGGCATGTACCACCACTACTAGCTTTGTTAGATTTTATTTTATAAACTTCAAAGAAATAGATTTGGAATTTGATTAAGTAAAAAAATTAGAATAGGATTATTTATTATTTATTAGTTAATTAGACACAGAGTCTCAATGTGTTGCCCACACTGGTCTCAAACTCCTGGGCTCAAGGGATTCTCTTGCCTTGGCCTCGCAGAGTGCTGGTATTATAGATGTGAACCCCTGTGCCTGGCCTAGAATTCATTTTGTACCAACTTTAGCTTGGAAATACTTGAATTGCTAATTCGAAGAAATGACTCTTATTTTTGACTTCCTAGACATTATTTAGTATTATATATCAGCTGGCTGGACATGGTGGCTCATACCTAGAATTGCAGCATTTTGGGAGGCTGAGGCATAAGGATTGCTTGAGCTCAGGAGTTGGAGACCAGACTAAGCAACATAGTGAGACCCTGTTTCTACAAAAAAAAAAATAATTAAAAAAATTCACCGAGCACATTGGCAGGACCCTGAGGTTTCAGCTGCATGGGAGGAATTCAAGGATACAGTGACCTACTGCACTTTTGCCTGGATAACAATGCACAATTCTGTCTCTTAAAGAAATAAGACCTGGTATGGCAGCTCACCCCTGTAATCCCAGCACACTGTGAGGCTGAGGCAGGTGGATCACCTGAGGTCAGGAGTTTGAGACCAGTCTGGCCAACATGGTAGAACCCTGTCTCTACTAAAAATACAAAAATTAGCCAGGTGTGGTGGTGCACGCTTGTAGTCCCAGCCACTTGGAAGGCTGAGTCAGGAGAATTGCTTGAACCTGGGAGGCCGAGCTTGCATTGAACCTAGATCATACCACTGTACTCCAGCGTGGGCGACAGAGCAAGACTCTGTCTCAAAAAAAATTAAAAATAAAAATTAGGTTGGGCATGGTGACTCATACCTACAATCCCAGCATGTTGGGAGGCTGAGGCAGGAGGATCACTTGAGCTTCTGTGTCAGGCATCTGTGATCCCAGCTACTTGGGAGACTGAGGCAGCAGAATTGCTTGAGCTGGGAGGCAGAGGTTGCAGTGATCGAGTCACTGTACTTCAGCCTGGGTGACAGATCAAGACTCTGTTTAAAAAAAAAAAAAAAAGGCCGGGCGCGGTGGCTCAAGCCTGTAATCCCAGCACTTTGGGAGGCCGAGGCGGGTGGATCACGAGGTCGAGAGATCGAGACCATCCTGGTCAACATGGTGAAAACCCCGTCTCTACTAAAGGTGCAAAAAATTAGCTGGGCATGGTGGCGTGTGCCTGTAATCCCAGCTACTTAGGAGGCTGAGGCAGGAGAATTGCCTGAGCCCAGGAGGCGGAGGTTGCGGTGAGCCGAGATCGCGCCATTGCACTCCAGCCTGGGTAACAAGAGCGAAACTCCGTCTCAAAAAAAAAAAAAAAAAAGGCCAGGTGCGGTTGCTCACGCCTGTAATCCCAACACTTTGGGAGGCCGAGGCGGGCAGATCACGAGGTCAAGAGATCGAGACCATCCTGGTCAACATGGTGAAACCCCGTCTCTACTAAAAATACAAAATATTAGCTGGGCATAGTGGCGCGTGCCTGTAATCCGAGCTACTCAGGAGGCTGAGGCAGGAGAATTGCCTGAACCCAGGAGGCGGAGGTTGTGGTAAGCCGAGATTGCACCATTGCACTCCAGCCTGGGTAACAAGAGCGAAACTCCGTCTCAAAAAAAAAAAAAAAAAAAAAAGATGAATACAAATTAATAGAACTAGGCAGATGTGGTGGTGTGCGCTTGTGGTCCCGACTACTCAGGAGGCTGAGATAAGAGAATTGCTGCCGGGCGTGGTGGCTCAAGCCTGTAATCCCAGCACTTTGGGAGGCCGAGGCGGGTGGATCACGAGGTCAAGAGATCGAGACCATCCTGGTCAACATAGTGAAACCCCATCTCTACTAAAAATACAAAAAAGTAGCTGGGCATGGTGGAATGTGCCTGTAATCGAGCTACTCAGGATGCTGAGGCAGGAGAATTGCCTGAACCCAGGAGGCGGAGGTTGCGGTGAGCCGAGATCGCACCATTGCACTCCAGCCGGGGTAACAAGAGCGAAACTCCGTCTCAAAAAAAAAAAAAAAAAAAAAAAAAAAAGAGAAAGAGAATTGCTGAATTGCTCAAACACCCAGGTGTTTGAGGGTGCAGTGAGCTGTGATTGTACTACCACACTCCAGCCTAGGCAACAGAGCGAGAGCTCATCTCAAAATAAGTGAATAAACAAACAAACAGCTTGTTTCACATGGATGTATCTTAATGATTCCATTGTACTAAACTATTAGTTTTTAGGGATAGGGACTATGTTTCATACAGTTTTTGTATCTTTAGTGTATAAAACTGTTCAGTAGATGTTAGTGTTATGAAAATACTGAACTCACAACTCTTCAGTGTGAACATTGCAAAACTCCTTCATTTAAACAAAATTTGACCAGGCTGGGCACATGGGCTCATGCCTGTAATCCCAGCACTTTGGAAGTTCAAAGTGGGCAGATTGCTTGAGCTCAGAAGTTTGAGACCAGCCTGGGCAACATGCAAAGCCCCATTGCTACAAAAAATATAAAAATTAGCTGAGCGTGGTGATGCACACCTGTAGTCCCAGATACTTGGGAGGCTGAGGTGGGAGGATCGATTGAGCCTGGGAGTTGGAGGCTGCAGTGAGCCGTGACTGTGCCACTGCATTCTATCCTGGGCAACCAGAGGAGACCCTGTCTCCAAAGAACAGAAAAAGAAAATTCGACCAATGGGAAGGAGACTTTTAATAACTTTAAAAAAAACACTTACATTGTTTCATAAGAAATAAAATAATTTGCCAGGCATGGTGCCTGTAATCCCAGCACTTTGGGAAGCTGAGGCAGGTGGATCGCGAGGTCAGGAGTTTGTGACCAGCCTGACCAACTTGGTGAAACTCTGACTCTACTAAAAATGCAAAAATTAACCTGGCATGGTGCTGCCTGCCTGTAATCCCGGCTACTTGGGAGGCTGAGGCAGGAGAATCACTTGAACCTGGGAGAGAGAGGTTGCGGTGAGCCAAGGGAGCGTCGTCATTGTACTCCAGCCAGGGGGACAGAGTGAGACTCTTGTCTCAAAAAAAAAAAAAAAGAAAGAAGGAAATAATTTTAAGGACTACTAGTTACATTGACTTCGGATGTTTTTTCTATTTTTGGAACAGGGCATCTATGTTCTTCAGGACAACAAATTTCGCCTGCTTACTCAGATGTCTGCTGGGAAACAGTATTTAGAACATGCATCTAAGGTATTTAATGGGGTTTCTGTTAATAGTAGGACTACATGGAAAAGTTCAATGCTAGTCACAACAGACTGTTGAACTTAAAATATATTTTAAGTGTTCTTTTTTGTTTAAAGAGTTTTTTATGAAATGAGAGACATGTCACAGTAACACTAATCTTTAGCTAAATAGGCTTATGGTAGCCAATTAAAGAAACACTGGCCGGGCGTGGTAGCTCATGCCCGTAATCCCAGCACTTTGGAAGGCCCAGGCAGGTGGATTACCTGAGGTTAGGAGTTTGAGACCAGCTTGGCCAACATGGTGAAATCCCGTCTCTACTAAAAATACAACATTCTAACTAAACGACAGTGAAATGTAGATGTATGGTAGATTACTTTTTTTTTTTTTTTTTTTTTTTTTTTTTTTTTTTTTTTAAGACAAGGTCTTCCTCAGTCATCCAGGCTGGAGTGTAGTGAGTGGTACGATCATGGCTTATCTTGAACTTGACCTCCTGGGCTCAAGCGATCCTCTTAATTCAGTCACCCAAGGAGCTGGGACTGCACGTGTGGGCCACCATGCCTGCTAATTTTTTAAGAAAGTTTTGTAGAGATTGGATTCCACAATCTTTTCAAATCCTGGGCTCAAGTGATCATCCCACCTCAGCCTCCCAAAGTGTTGGGATTATAGGTATGAGCCACCGCATCTGGCCTGATTGCTTATTTCCTGTATTTTTGGAGTATACAGGCTCTAATTTTATGGGTAATGTGTATATTTTCTTTTTTTTGAGATGGAGTCTTGCTCTGTCACCCAGGCTGGAGTACAACGGCATGATATCAGCTCACTGCAACCTCCGCCTCCCAGGTTCAAGTGATTCTCCTGCCTCAGCCTCTTAAGTAGCTGGGATTACTGGCATGCACCACCCCACCTAGCTAATTTTTTGTGTCTTTAGTGGAGATGGGGTTTCATCATGTTGGCCAGGCTGGTCTCAAACTCCTGACCTTGTGATCCACCCACCTCGGCCTCCCAAAATGCTGGGATTACAGACATGAGCCACCGTGCCTGGCATATTTTCTTTTTTTTACTAACATCTCACTTTAATATTTCTGGTTCTCACTTAACTTTTTGGGATCTTGATTTTTTCACCTGTGAAAAGAGTAAGTTAGACCATTTCTCTGATTTCTAACTATTTTAAGTAATGGACATCCTTGAGAATTGGAACACCTTTCCCTATAAATACACGTATATACATGGTTTTTCTTTTCTTTTCTTTTTTTTTAGTTGGGGTATCACAGCAAAATGGTTTTTATTTTCATAGGGGTTACAGGTTCCCAGATTAAGAACTCTTGGGATAAACAATCTTTTTTTTTTTTTTTGAGACGGAGTTTCGCTCTTGTTACCCAGGCTGGAGTGCAATGGCGCGATCTCGGCTCACCACAACCTCCGCCTCCTGGGTTCAGGCAATTCTCCTGCCTCAGCCTCCTGAGTAGCTGGGATTACAGGCACGCGCCACCATGCCCAGCTAATTTTTTGTATTTTTAGTAGAGACGGGGTTTCACCATGTTGACCAGGATGGTCTCGATCTCTCCACCTTGTGATCCACCCGCCTCGGCCTCCCAAAGTGCTGGGATTACAGGCTTGAGCCACCGTGCCCGGTCAGGGGTAAACAATCTTTAACGCCTGTTCTCTTCCAGCTTAGAATTTCATGACTCAGATTTAATTACTTAATAGGACCCATTTATATATATTAATTATGAGATATTTTATATTATAGATTATGTATATTGAACATGCAACGTAGATGTGGGTAATCAAAAATTCCTTGAATTACTGATTTTTCTTTTTTTTTTTAAAAAAAAAGATGGGGTTTCTTCATGATGGCCAGGCTGGTCTTGAACTCTTGACCTCAAGTGATCCACCCACCTCAGCCTCCCAAAGTACTAGGATTACAGGTGTGAGCCACTACACCCGGCCTCGAATTACTGATTTTTCAATTCAGTTCTTGTCATGATTTTCAGGGCTGTAGCTCAGCCCTTTTCCCTTTCTTTGTGTCTATGTGACACTGTTTCTCAACATCCAAGCTGTTGATATTTTCAACCAGTTAATTCTTTGTTGTGACAAGCTATAAGTCTTAAACAAGTCCAGATTCTTGGTTGTAAATAGAGGAAGGAAACTCTGCTTGTAAGCTAACACAATTGATAAGCTCTAAAAATAGGCAATAACCAGGGGAGGTTAAGACAGCTGGTAGGATAGCATCGTCACTCCACAGGATGAGTCCAGTTAGAATCCTGCAGGCAGCATGGATTGTTGACACAAACTACCTTTACTGCCTCCAGAAGTAATTCTGATCTGTTTCTGGCTTGTTTTTGTCACTCTAGTTTCACTGTCCTGGATTACTTAATTGGCTGAGCCTAAGTCTTTTTTTTTTTTTTTGAGACAGAGTTTTGCTCTTATTGCCCAGGCTGGAGTGCAATGGCAGGATCTTGGCTCAGTGCAACCTCTACCTCCTGGGTTCAAGTGATTCTCCTGCCTCAGCCTCTCGGGTAGCTGGGATTACAGGCATGTAACACCACGCCCGGCTAATTTTGTATTTTTAGTAGAGACAGGATTTCTCCATGTTGGTCAGGCTCGTCTCGAACTCCTGACCTCAGGTGATCCACCCACCTCGCCCTCCCAAAGTACTTGGATTACAGGCCTGAGCCACAGCGCCCAGCTTCCCTGGCTGAGCTTAAGTCTTTTTTTTTTTTTTTTTTTTTTTTTGAGACGGAGTTTCGCTCTTGTTACCCAGGCTGGAGTGCAATGGCGCGATCTCGGCTCACCACAACCTCCGCCTCCTGGGTTCAGGCAATTCTCCTGCCTCAGCCTCCTGAGTAGCTGGGATTACAGGCACGCACCACCATGCCCAGCTAATTTTTTGTATTTTTAGTAGAGACGGGGTTTCACCATGTTGACCAGGTTGGTCTCGATCTCTCGACCTTGTGATCCACCCACCTCGGCCTCCCAAAGTGCTGGGATTACAAGCTTGAGCCACCGCGCCCGGCCAAGTCTTAAGTCATATGTCTATGCTTTAGTTTCTGGGGAGCTGGGAAATCTAACAATATTTTTCAGTAATTTGAACAGTTCCTCCAAAGTCCTTTTTTTTAAACAGGAATGACTTACTGATAATAAATCATGTCATGTTGCATTTTTCAATAGCTTTACTATTTTAGTAAATCCTTACTATTTTAATGATTTTTTTTCCTTTTAGTATTTAGCATTTACATGTGGCTTAATCAGAGGTGGCTTATCAAACTTGGGAATAAAAAGTATTGTAACAGCCGAAGTGTCTTCAATGCCTGCTTGTAAGTTGAATTCATGTTTCTTACAAATGTTTCAGTAATTTGTTTTCAGGTCTGATATTTTTGTTTGTTTTTGTTTTAACTGAGAGAAAATTTAAAATGCTGAAACTTTCATTTTAGTTTTATCAGTGTAACATTTAGTGTATAATATGCTGCATGCTATATTCATATTCAGTAATTTTTGAATTAATAATGGACTAAAATCCAAATTTATAAGACAATTTAAGGGATGATTTATAACTTTTTTAAAGTCAGATATTCTTTTTTAGAGAAGATATTCTAAATATGTATACCTGTATAAATATGATTTATAACTTTTTAAAATTCAAGTATATATATTCAGAATAATATCTTCTGAATATGTATGCCTGTATGAATTTGGATTTATAAGACAATTTAAGGGATGTAATGCTTTAAGATAGCAAATTTCCCTAGAACGTTGAAAATGCCTCCTAGATTCAAGCGATTCTCCTGCCTCAGCCTCCTGATTAGCTGGGATTACAGGCGCACACCATGACACCTGGCTAATTTTTGTGTTTTTATTAGAGATGGGGTTTCACCATGTTGGTTGGGCTGGTGAAAATGCTATTTTTAAACAATTGTTTAGGATATATCTATTACATGAAGCTAAGTAAAACCAAATAGTCTTTTTTTAATTAATTAATTAATTTTTTTTTTTTTATAGACGGGATTTTGCCATATTGGCCAGGCTGGTCTTGAACTCCTGACCTCATGTGATCCACCCGCCTTGAATTACAGGCGTGAGCCACGGCGCCTGGCCCCAAATAGTCTTTTATCACTAAATGTCTCCCTAAATGCCTCCCTAAAGATTTTTTCACTGGAGCTGCCAACCAAGAAAAAAACATGGACTTGAGCTTCATTGCATTTCCTTTCCATTTACAATGATCATTAGCAGTGAAATACTGTACCCAAATGTAGGAATAATGAAGAGAAACAAAGGTGCCTACTCACAAACTAGATAATCATCCCATTAAATAGGATGACTTTATTAAATATTATGAAGAATGTGAAAAGGTTGTTTGACATAGTAGGTTTCTTGATTGAAACTATTTCCTATATGGAAAATAAAATTGATGTTTAGACTTGTTTTCCTTGTATCTAAAATTAAAGAATTATTATTATTTTTTTTTTTAGGCAAATTTCAGGTGATGATACAGAAGCTGTAGAACATACTGAAATGCAAGGCTTCAACAGTGTAAAGAGATAAATTATTCATGTATAAAGTATTTCAGGTAGTGATGATTTAATTACATTGTTTGATGTTTGTACAGGAGTAAGCATGTATTTTTAACAATTTACACAGATCAACTCAAAGGAGATAAAGGGACATTCTGCCATGACATATATTTAACCAAAACTATTCAAAATGAAAACCTGATTTCAGATAACTAGACACCAAGATGTAGGACTCTTATTTTAAACCTTTTTATTTGGTTAGAGTGTTAACGTATTTGGCCATAGACAGACAGGCAAAGCTCAGGGTTTGCTGAATTTGCTTGAGAGAAAAGTGTGTACCAACAGAATATTTGTGATAAAAATGAACAAATTTTGATAAAGTATGAATGTTTTATTTTAAAAAGCAAACATACTAAATTTTTTATTTTATTGCTTATAATTTATTAAGAATTTTTACACCTGTATAAGGATTTTGTATATACATTGTATGTGTGTGTGTGTGTGTGTGTGTGTGTGTATATATATATATATATATATATATAAATACATATATGACTGCCTAAATTGTTTAGAAATTTCATTTTGTTTTAATAGGTTTCATTCCTTCAGAGCTCCATTAATGTAATCAAAATGAAATATAGATTAGTTTAAATGTGAATTCAGTGACTATAGGGCCAAAGAATATTAGGTATGTTTGAAAGGAATTTTTGTATTTATTTCTGTTAGAGTTTTGACTTTCAACTTCTCTCCCCATGCATGGACATCCTGGTAAAGGGTCTAATATCTTTATTCCCTTCTTTACTCTTTCACCTGAGGATTTGTAATTCTTTTTCTTTTTTTTTTTTTTTTTTTTTTTTTTTTGAGATGGAGTCTTGCTTTGTTGCCAGGCTGGAGTACAGTGGCTCAATCTCGGCTCACTGCAACGTCTGCCTCCCAGGTTCAAGTGATTCTCTTGCCTCAGCCTCCCAAGTAGCTGGCATTACAGGCACCTGCCACCACGCCCAGCTAATTTTGATATTTTTCGTAGAGACGGGGTTTCACCGTGTTGGTCAGGCTGGTCTTGAACTCCTGACCTTGTGATCCACCCGCCTCGGTCTCCCATAAGTGCTGGAATTACAGGCTTGAGCCACCGCTCCCTGCCCTTGGATTAGTCATTCTGACATTCTCTGGACTACATCATCTTAGTGGTTTGGGGTCAGTGCTCACTGGATATATCTTACTCACCACCTCTTCCACATACTTTCTCTTACTTAAATTATCTGGCATAAGCAGATATCCCCAGCTTTTGTTAGAACTTTGCATGTTGATTATAAAAACGATACTTTGTTTCCTATTTATTTATTACCCTTTTGCATGTGTTTGTGTGACAGGGAACGCTGCAGAAGGGGGTGACTGACACACCAAACAAGATGTTTTATTGGGTACTCTGCCATAGAAATGGCTGATTAAGATCGACTAAATAAAACAAACATTATATTAAAAACCCGAAATAAGAACTATAAAAATTTACTTTAGAATATTAAAGAAAACTCAGGGCCGGGCATGGTGGCTCATGCCTGTAATCCAAGCACTTTGGAGGCCAAGGCTGGCGGATCACCTGAGGTCGGGAGTTCAAGACCAGCCTGACCAACACAGTGAAACCCCGTCTTTTTTTTTTTTTTTTTTTTGAGACGGAGTTTTGCTCTTGTTACCCAGGCTGGAGTGCAATGGCGCGATCTCGGCTCACCGCAACCTCCGCCTCCTGGGTTCAGGCAATTCTCCTGCCTCAGCCTCCCAAGTAGCTGGGATTACAGGCACGTGCCACTATGCCCAGCTAATATTTTGTATTTTTAGTAGAGACGGGGTTTCACCATGTTGACCAGGGTGGTCTCAATCTCTTGACCTCGTGATCCACCCGCCTCGGCCTCCTAAAATGCTGGGATTACAAGCTGAGCCACCGCGCCCGGCCCGAAACCCCATCTTTAAAAAAAAAAAAGAAAACTCAGGTTAGAGGCATACCATTTTCCTTTCATGGAAGGATACATACAGTATTACAAAGATATTTAACTTGATTTATTAAATTCTAGTTATGTGTCCTGTAATGATGTTTCAATCAATGACAGAATACATATATAGTGGTGGTCCCATAAGATTACAATACCACATTTTTATTGTACCTTTTTAATGTTTATTTTACTTTATTTTTGAGATGGAGTCTCACTCTGTTGCCCAAGCTAGAGTGCAGTGACATGATCTAGGTTCACTGCAACCTCCACCTCTCAGGTTGAAGTGATCCTCCTACCTCAGCCCCTCTAGTAGCTGGGATTACAGGGATACACCACCATGCCTGACTAATTTTTTGTATTTTTAGTGAAGACAGGGTTTTGCTATGTTGGCCAGGCTGGTCTCAAACTCCTGACCTCAGGTGATCCACCCACCTCAGCCTCCCAAGGGCTGGTATTACAGGCGTGAGCCACTGTGCCCGGCCCTTCTTTACCTTTAGATATGCAAGTACTTACCATTGTGTTACAGTGTCCTACAGTATTCACTACAGTAATATGCTATACAGGTTTATAGCCTAGGAGCAATAGGCGATAGCCTAGGTGTAGAGTAGGCCATACCGTCTAGGTTTGTGTAAGTATACTCTGTGATTCTACAATTTCAAAATCTCCTAATGACACATTTTTCAGAACATACCCCTTTGTTAAGCAATGCATGACTGCAATTCTAATTCTAGCCTCATTTGGGGAAAAAAATTTTAATTTTGAAAAAATAAATTTAGGAAACTTCCTGTCAAATATGCAAATATAAAGTTTATTATGTTAAAAAAGTCATAATGACCCAGGAATAGCTAATGACACAAAAGTGGATCAAAATGGAACACAGTAGAGAACATCAAATAAAACAGGTGTAGAAATTGTGTGTGTGAAAAAGGTAGGTTCAAATAAGTGAGTTTGTTAGACAATCCCGTATGCCTACCTGTTAGCCATTTCTTTCTCCCTTCCTTGCAGACAAAGCCCCATTTTTTTTCTTACTTTTTTTTTTTTTTAAACTCTGTATGGCTGCTTTGTGCTGTAGAATAGGGTGCTTCCCCAGTCCAGAGATGGTGAGTGTTGATTAGATTCTATGCCAATCATGGTAATTGGCTTACTTGATCATTTGATGGAATCTCAGCTAATGAGATAAAGGAAGTCTGAAAGGCTTTGAAGAAATTTTCTGTTGTTCTTAATTGATAGAAGATGGGGATTGGATTTGCCAGCATCCCTTTTCTGCTTCTCAGTGCAGATAGGTGATATGGATGTTTGAAGCTAATCTGCAGCAGCCTTCTGATGGCCATGAAAGGACAAGTATGTAGATGAAAGCCATCATACTGAGCATAGTGGGATGTAGATAGAAAGCACCTGAATTGTGCTTCTGAATTAACCAATCTGGTAACTGCTTCACCTTTGGACTTTTGGTTATGTGAGATATTCCGTATATTGTTACATTCACTTTGGATATATATATTGTTACTTGTAGCCAAAAAGAAACCTCTCTCTCAGTAGAAACAAAGGGAGAGTTAGGTTATTCAAAAATAGTATGGGACAATTGAATATCTCTTTTGGGAGTGGGTGGGGAGAAACTTAAAGGTTCACGTGTAAAACAATAAAACTGTAAAATACTAAAAAAAAAAAATGAGAATACTTGTGATTTTGTGCTAGAGAAGGCCCTTCCAACACACAAATGTAGGAACTCATAAAGGAAAATTGTAAAACAAAACAAAAAAAATATAGCAACATCTCTCAACAAATAGTGTCTGGAAAACTGGAAATCCACATACAAAGGAATGAAATTGGATTGTTGTCTTAATGCTGTACATAGAAATCAAATTAAATTGGATTGAAGATTTATTTATTTATTTATTTAATATATATATATTTTTGAGACGGAGTTTCGCTCTTGTTACCCATCCTGGAGTACAATGGTGCGATCTCGGCTCACTGCAACCTTTGCCTCTTGGGTTCAGGCAATTCTCCTGCCTCAGCCTCCTGAGTAGCTGGAATTACAGGCACACGCCACCATGCCCAGCTTGGATTGAAGATTTAAAAGTAAAATCCGAAACTATATAATCCTAGCAGAAAACATAGGGGAAAAGCTTCATAACATTGGTCTTGGTAATGATCTCTTTGGTAAGACACCAAAAGCATAAGCAACAAAAGCTGAAGTGGAAAAGAGGGACTACATCAAACTAAAAAGATGCACAGCAAAGGACAGTGAAAAAGCAACTTAGGAATGGAAGAAAATATTTGCAAACCATATACACTTGGCCCTTTCTATCTGATGGTTCAACCAAGAATTCAACCAACCTTGGCTTGAAATATTTGAAAAAAAAAGGCCGTGCTCAAGTCTATAATCTCAGCACTTTGGGAGGCTGAAGGGGGTAGATACCTGAGGTCAGGAGTTCAAGACAAGCCTGGGCATCATGGTGAAACCCTGTCTCTACTAAAAATACAAAAATTAGTTGAGTGTGTGGTGGCACATGCCTGTAGTCCGAGCTACCTGGGAGGCTGAGGCAGGAGAATTGCTTGAACCTCAGAGGTGGAGGTTGCAGTGAGCCTCAGTCGTGCCACTGCACTCCAGCCTGGGTGACAGAGTGAGACTCTTGTCTCCAAAAAAAAAACAAAACCAGAGACTATAAAAATAAAAATACACATTTAAAAAATATAGCATAACAGTCATTTATATAGCATTTACAATATGATAGGTATAAGTAATTTTTTTTCCCCCATCTCTGTATGGATCATGTTGCAGGTATCAGTAATCTAGAGATGATTTTTTTTTTTTTTTTTTTTTTTTTTTTTTTTTTTTGAGATGAAGTTTTGCTCTTCTGCCTGAGCCTCCTGACTAGCTGGGATTATAGGCATGTGCCACCACGCCCAGCTATTTTTTTTTTTGTTTTTAGTAGAGAAGGGGTTTCTGCATGTTGGTCAGGCTGGTCTTGAACTCCGAAACTCAGGTAATCGGCCAACCTCGGCCTCCCAAAGTGCTAGGATTACAGGTGAGAGCTGCCATGCCCACCCTACAGATAATTTAAAGCATATGGTGGTGTGATGGCTCATGACTGTATTCCAGCACTTTGGGAGGCCAAGGCAGGCAGATCACCTGAGGTCAGGAGTTCAAGATCAGCCTGGCCAACATGGTTAAACCCTATCTCTACTGAAAATACAAAAATTAGCCAGCCATGGTGCCGAGCACCTGTAATCCCAGCTACTTGGGAGGCTGAGGCAGGAGAACTGCTTGGACCCAGGAGGCAGAGGTTGTGGTGAGCAGAGATCGCACCACTGCACTCCAGCCTGGGTGACAGGAGCGAGACTGTCTCAATAAATAAATAAATAAATAATACAGGAGGGCAGAGCAGGCCAAGCAGTCTGGGTGCGGTGACTCACATTTGTTATCTGAGCACTTTGGGAGGCCAAGACAGGAAGATTGCTTGAGCTCAGGAGTTCAAGACCAGCCTGGGAAATGTGGCGAGACTTCATCT